AAAAAAAAAAAAAAAAAAAAAAAAAGAAAGTAATCCTGACAGAATGTGTCTAGAGGATCTACAAGAATTCCTACATAGCATTGTGTGTGATTGGAGTACCGAGGTGGAAGTGACGAGGGACAAGAAGGTCGGACATGTTTACCATTGTGCGCATGCTGGGATGATTTTGCGTATTTTGGCAGTTTGTGGGGCCCTTGGGGATTTGTAATTCACCTAGGCTTAATAGGCCTTCCACCTGTGTTGCCAACCGGGCCACCCGAGTCGTCTTGGCTGCCGGGGAGGCGGCTCGGCCGGGCAAGGGCCAAGGAAGGTCCCTGCAAAATATATATAGAGTCAAACAGGGAGCTGCCCGGTAAACCGTAGGCAGAGAGGGATCTGTTTGACTACATTTATAATCATCATCTGGGATTGTCTTATATGTTTTTTGTTCCAGTAAGAACGGTTTACAAATGGGAATACCCACGTCTTGATGAAGAACAAGGCCATCTGCTGTATATAGATATGTAATCTGGGATTTTTCTGATTTTGCAGACAAGAGTTTTGTCCTGGGTTTCAATTTGGTCTCCCACAGGGAACAGACTGGCAGGACACATGCAATAAGCTATTTTTTACAGTATCTAATCGATTCTGTTCCTCTTTTCCATCCAACCTTCTGGACAGCTGTCATCGGAATGGGGAAAAGGGGGAGAGTTCTCTCACAATGTTCAACTCAGAATTCTCATACAAGAGTACTCAGAGTACTCAGAGCAAGAAGGTGAGAAGACTGAAAGAATTGGCGAGAAAAGAACATCTAAGCAGGCATAACAACAGGAGTCTAAAAATGTTCTCTCTCTGAGGCAAAGCCAAATCCAATCGGGGAGAAAACATTGCCCAGACAGACAAGCTTTTGCAGAGCCTGAGACGAAGGATCAGACATTTACCCCTTACTCCAACGGAAATGAAGCTCCCAAAAAAATCGAGATTCAAAGAAAATTATTACAAAAAAAACAGAAACAAAATTGTTAATAAAGGAGCCAAAAATTTTCGGAACAAGGGTAAGGAAAAAGATGACCGGTTGACTCAGGGCTCATTGGGAATCACTCGATCCCAAAATTTCGAACTCTCAAGAGACTGCGAAAACGGTCCTGCTGAGGAAGCCATGATTCATATGTCAGATGTACAACTTTTGGTCCACACTGAGAATAACCTCACCCTAGAGAGTGCACAGTCCTTACTCAACAGATATCTGAGTCCCATCTCAAAAATGGCCCAACAGGGCTCTCCTCCCCATTCTGATGAAGGCACATATCAAAGAAACAAAGGCTGTACAGCAGAACAGGAAGAGGAAGGAGAGGTTGAGGGAGGAAATGAGGAAAGCAGTCATTCTGAATCCAGACTGGTACAAGCGGCAGAGCTTTCAGCCAAAGGAAGGCAGACCAGTCCACAATATACACAGGAAGATTCCGCTGTTCTCACCACAAATGGTACGCAGCTACATCAACAAGGAGGGGGACGAAAAAGCATAAGACTTGAAGTAGTGATTTCTCAACTCACAGGAGAAAGAAAGTTCCTTCTGATTCCTAGTCCAGATAGGGGTCCTACAAAGACCTCTTCGCTAATTGAGTGGGACGGATGCCCGAAGGATCAAGGAACAGATCAAGGAACAGAGAAGAAAAATCAAGAAAAGGGAACTATAATTAACCTTACTGAGGACTTGCAGAATAAGCAGATAGCAGTCCAGGCATCCCCAAGTGACAGAAAAGGTTCCCTCTCCGCTTCTGAGCTACATATATCTCAAACATCAGAGCTGTTGCATAGCTGCAGCGAGCTGCACCTCTGCAATACTCCACCGGCACTGGAGATCACTAGCAAAAGACAGAAATTGAGCCTGAGAATGAGAAATGAACATGATGATATCCCCCCCTCAAAAGCAGGAATAGTTGTTCTTCCAGTCAGATGCAAAGGAGGGATTTGGGAAGTAGGTTTGTCAGTACCCCCTGGGGCTTTGGATGGTGAGGTAACGGTGCTAGGTACAAAGTCATCTCTTCTTTCCTCGTCCACCATAATGGAGGTGAAAGCAAACGAAAATCTAAGTAAGACAGATATCATGAGTTATGTCAGAGAACATTTTTCCCAAGGAATTTCATCCTTTCTAATATTGGTAACTGATCCACAAAGAATTGCAGAGTGGGA